CAAATGCAAGTTTGCTCCGTTGTAAGACATCAGTAAGAATTCCAGAAAACGAAGATGTACAAGTGAACCGGTTGTTTACATCGAAATATGACCTAATATCAAAATTGCAATTGATAGCTATAAAATGTCACTCTGAATACAAAGTCAAGAAGTCGAATAAGAGCACTTATACAATTGTTTGTATCGATGAAAATTGCAAGTGGCGGTTGCGAGCAACCAAGATCGCAGAAAGTCCTATTTTCGAAGTTCGAAAGTATAATGGTCATCACTCTTGCTCCATGAGCATTCGTAGCAGAGACCATAGGCATACTTCATATATGATCATTGGAAACCACATTGCCCCGAAGTATCAAGATGCCAACCGAGTTTACAGACCAAGGGACATCATTAATGACATCGAGAGTTCGGCATAACCGTAAGCTATACTAAACAGTATATGGCTAAACATTTTGCTTGTGGACTGATCCGTGGAAAACCCCTTGAGAGTTATGCAAAATTACCAGCATATTGTCATGTTTTGGAGATACAAAATCCTGATACACTGACATTCATTCATACTACTGATGATCGGCGCTTCAAGTACTTTTTTATGGCATGGGACCAAGTATACATAGATTCCTCAACTCAATGCGAAGGGTAATTTCTATACATGGTACATTCCTAAAATAAAAAATGAAAGGTACTCTACTAGTAGCAACCGGTCAAGATGTAAATTTTCAAATATTTCCACTCGCATGGGGAGTCGTTGATTCGGAGAATGATGAATCATGGAGTTGGTTCTTTCAGAAGTTGCGATGGAACATCAGCTGTGCTACTAGTGGCACCATCAAATGCACTAGTCCCTGAATGAAATCGACCTGTCACAGCCAATTCAATCAACATGTCAACCTTTTTTCTCCACCCGATCAACTTGAGTTGATATGACTGCTTGTAGCCTTCCCTCAAGTTTTTCCATTTCTATTCTCAAAAAATCCACTATGTTGAGCTCATGAGAAACAGGTAGAGATTGAGATACACTAGAAGAGTGTTGGTAGAATGCATGATGTGGGTCGACATCATGCTCAACCTCATCTCCTTCGACATACTGTGAAGCATTATCATCTTCTTCCATAATTGGGGTCAATGTTTTCCAGAACACCTCCTCCAATTCAGTTTCAGTAGGAATCAATGTAGAAATAACCTCTAATTGCAAATATTAAATCGTGCAAATCATTATTCATTTGCTAAGCTAATTCCACAATTTATCCTCACTATACTTAAAAAAAAAAAGGAAATTTACCTCTTTCGATTCCAACACATTATCAATGGCGGTAGATGCTAACCTCTTTGGCATTTCCCAAGCGACCATTCTTGAAATTGCATTCAGATATTCCGTAGCAAACTTCATTCCCAATTTTGTAATCGCTTCGAATGTCCAAATCTATTGTAAAACAAACATTATTATCTCATAGCACAAAGTTTGTACATAAAAAATAATACAAGTCAAGTGCGTTGTTTTTTCATACCATTATAGCGAGTGGAAAGCCGTGCAATGAATACCGACAACGTGACTATCCTCCGACATCCAAACTTTTTAATTTACCTCCCATTTCACGTTTGAAGATGTTCATCGTGTATTCAAATGAAAATTTTCCCCAAGGGTACTTGTCAAACCTATCTAGATGATCCACCAAGTACAGCCACCATAAATCGATGTAGGTGTTTTCCTCTGTGGCCCATAGGATGTACCCCAAGATTACGATCAATTCCAATTTATATTTGTTGCTCTTTTTTTCTTGCAGCTTACAAAAGCATTGTAAACATCTCCCCTTGTAATCTTCCCCCCGCTTTTCTTAAAATATTCTTTAACGATCCGACACTCCGCCCAAAAAGTCCAGTCCACGTTGTTATCATCACCAGCATTTAAGCCCTTCACTAAAACAAATTCTTGCAATCCGAATCTTACTCTTTTGTCGCCTATCTCAAACCAAACTTCTTCTTTTTTTTCCAGTCTTCATCTTTCGTAATAATAATTGATGTATAACTTGTGAAGCCAACCTTATGTCTCTCAATCGAAGAAGCGATCCAAAACAACTCTCGCGGAGCTTATTCTTGTAATTTGTATCTAATTTTTCGTAAACATCTTGAATGATTTGTATTTTGCATCTCGTTGTAATCGTAGCATCGACTTCGATCTTCTCCATAGCACTGCAAGTTATAAAATAATTATAAATATTAAAGCAAGTGATGAAGGTAAAAAATTTTCTAACAAGATGTATAAGATGTATAAACCAAGTTGAGCATACAAATTTTTGATAAGAAAATAGAAATTTTGTACAGATTGCAAACACCGTAGTAATTCCCAACAAAAGTTCATACTAACATTCTACTAATACAAGTACTAGATCTACAACCAAATGTGAAATTATTATCGAAGATTATGCTTCATTTCACGTATTATTTGATAGTTTAATGAGAAGAATTGAGTCCATCTCCAAGTACAAACTCCTAATTTTAATTCTAAAAACTTAGAAGACATAAAAATTAAAATCTGGAGAAAAAGTTAAACACAATTAGCCTCTAGTCACTCTTGACTCACAAACTACAACATTTCCAGAACCACTTTATCCACAAAATCACAAATACTCTTAATCCTAAAGTTCAACTTGTCAAAAAAAAAAAAATCTTACCTACTTCAATTAACAAGACAATGCCACAAACTATCTCAATTTACCAAAAGGGAAAAAACACATTACACAAACATAAAATTACAATAACCATCTCAAAATTTATCTAAACTCCACACCCCATTACCATAATACTGCAAATCAATATAAAATTAATCTATCCACTTATGGGTGTTAATTGGAACAATTGGATGCTTGCCCATCGTGTTACTAAGCTCAATTGATGTTCCCCTAATCTAATTAAACATTTTCAGCAGCATAGATTCATCAATTTGGTCAATTTTTATTTTTTCGCACAAAGCTCTAGCAGTAACCACAAAGTGATCGGGCCCTGGGTACATTCGGCCATGACCCATGCCTGAGCAAGGTGCGTCAGGTGAGGGAGAAATAGGCCCAGGTGGTCTGCAACCTGGGTTCGTCCGGATGGAGGAGGAATCGCCATTTTTTTAAGCTGCTTCGCGACAGTCGCGACTGAGTAGTTTCGTGGTGAAAATTCATGCATCTAGATGGATGATTGGAACAAATTGTGGCCTTGGTTAATGTCTTCTGAGCATGGGCAATCGACCGGTATAGGTCCGATGTCATGGGTGTGGCCGGAAGTTGAGATTATACAGATGGTTCAGAAATCTTTAAGAGGAGAGAAAATCACACAAGAATCAAGAAAATACACACTGCTTCACTTAAGCTTTCGCAGGCTTACCTTTGGGAAATCTCGAGACTGTGGTACAATTCTTGAAGGTGAAATGGAGATGGAGATAGAGAGTGAGACCGTTGGAGATGAAATGGAGATGGAAACGGTAAACTCTTGGGCCAGTTCCTTTGAATTTCAAGGAGAAGTCCCCCTTTTTTATTTTACAAGATAAGGGTATATGGGTCTTTTGATAATTTTAATTAATTAAAATTACTTTTGTTTTATTCATTTCAGTCAAAGGCCCATTGGACAAAATGTTTGTGAAGAATGGCCATTTGAACTCATTCCCCAAAAATCAACGCAAACTCAGCCTCTTTGATTCCAATTAATGCAAGCTTTTATTTTACGAAAAATCCCATTAAGTTTATCCAAATTTGCCATATCATTTTGAGTCATTAACGGTTGGAAAGATATATTGTTGTCGCAGTGTAAATTCTTGCACTTGTTCTTATGCACATGAATTTTTGAGAGCTTCCTACATTGAGCATGCTGTATCTAAGCCAACATCGAGTCCAAGAGCTTCTTTTGAGAGTGTGCATATGATCCATCCACGAAGAAGGTGATCAGACTTGCGCCAGGCTGCAAAACTTTCTGTCATTGTTGGTACAAAGTTTTTTGCATCTGTGCCTAGAGTTGGATTGGTATATTTCGTGTGAGCCGAGTCTTTTGTGATGAGATATTCGATAAGTTCTTTACTTTCTGCTAAAGCCAATGCTTGTTCACGCCACAAAGGATAGTTAGTTGGGTGAGTCTGAGGGTAATGAAATTTCCAACATTTTTTTTGAGAGACACATCATGGCAAAAAAATGAAGATCGTTGAGTGCTCAAAACCTAACCGGCAACGACTTTTCACTATTTTTGTGGAGCATTTATCCAAAGAAAAAATAACTATCTAAATCAAATAAGAAACTAACAACTCTGTATCTGTAGGAGTTCTCTTGTTTGACTGACTCTATAGATGCACCTGGAATTGAATTTGATTTAATGTCACATTCGCTTGCATTCCCTGAGACTGATAACAATGAAGCTTACTTAGCAATTGTTCTATTAGATCAAGCAAGATCTTCTGATCACGTTGGACTATCTTTTGATTTGAATTTGCTAACGTCAAGTCTTTTTGATCACTCAAACTCTCTCAACTAATTTTAAAATTATTGTGAGGATTTTTTAACTTTATCACTCCAAGAATTTTGGGTCTTCTTATCTCTCCTTTGATCTCATCATTTTTGTTGCCAAGCTTTGAGACATTGCTAAAATGGTCTCACTTAAAAGAATGCTTTTTTATTGCAGTACTCTATCCGAGTTTTACCCAAATAAGCTTTGAAAGAGTACTAGGGGAAGTGTTCTCTTAAATTTCGTAAAAATCTGTCACACATGCTGTCTATAAATTCTATTAGTTCTCTTGCCTTCTGGTACAATTTCACCATTTCTCATATAAATCAATGCACCCTATCACCATTTTTGTGTTTGAGCATGTCTTTCTTTCAAAGTTAGAAGCTGATAGCAGATAGATTTACAGAAGAAATCTGTCTTCAATATATACCATTTTTCCATTGTTTGAACATAAAAGTTTTGTTTATTTTACAAATGGAAAGATAAACGAAGAAATATTAACATAATGACATGGGGAAAACACATAGTATTCATCGTCCCTCAAACATGGAAGAGCCCCTTGTATTCGTATGGCTTTGGGAAGAAGAAAAAGAACGAATCAAGTTTTGCATAAATGCAGGTTGCTCTGGCAAAGGCAGATCTACAATTTCACCACAAAGCATCGAAAGAACAGTTGATATATTCGGTCTTTTAAAAGGGAATTCTTGAACACACAATAGTCCAACATGTATGCATCTCAAAATCTCGTCCAAGAAACTTGGACTTGATATTCTTCCATCTATCAAAGCCACTGCTTTGTCCTCATTCCATAAGTTCCATGCCTGAAAAAGATTAGGAGAAATTTTCATGATGGACAATGGTATCACTGAAGATTTTCATAACATTTGTAGTTTACTTACATATCCTAAAAGGCTCAAAGAAGAGTCGTCGTTGTAGAAGCTCGTGTTCCTTGTCCCACTTATGATTTCTAACACCAAAACTCCAAAACTAAATACATCAGATTTTTCTGAAAATTTTCCTCCCATTGCATATTCAGGGGCCATGTATCCACTGCAACATCACACCAATTCAACAAATAATCCAATGTGAGCTAAGGCCCTGTCACTGGCAATAAGTAAGAATAACCATCTAAAACCATTTAACATTTACTTACTATGTTCCCACAACTCTTCCAGTGTTGGCTTGATCTTGGTTGCCTCCGAATATTCTGGCCATTCCAAAATCTGAAATCTTTGGATTCCAGTGCTCATCAAGCAAAATGTTGCTTGGTTTGAGGTCGCGATGGACTATTTTCAATCTAGAATCCCTGTGAAGATAAAGGAGGCCTCGACCAATACCTGCAATAATATTGAAACGTTTCGTCCAATCTAGAATCTCTTGTGATCTATCTGTACAAATAAAATCCCGAGGCCAAAACACTTAATTATAAGTAACATAACTAACACACTGATTTGATTAATTGAGGTAGTCAACTGACCAAAGAGAAATAAATCCAAGCTTCTATTTGTCATATATTCGTAGATCAGCATCTTTTCTCCTTTCTCAACACAGCATCCCAGTAAGCTAACAAGATTACGGTGTTGTAGTTTGGAAATGACAACAACTTCATTCATAAATTCTTGCAGCCCTTGTCCAGATGCTCTCGAAAGCCTCTTGACTGCAATATCTTTTCCATTTCCCAACTTTCCCTATATACATAAGCAAGAAATTTCATCATAAACTAAAACGTACATAAGACGAAATCGGTATTAAGGATGAATATTACCTTGTAAACAGGACCAAACCCGCCCTTCCCAAGTAGATTAGTCACATCGAATTGAAAAGTTGCAGTTTCCAGCATCTCGAAGCTGAATAATGGCAACTCGTCCAGACTAGCTTCATCAATATTATCTCTAAGAACAACGCCACTTGAACCTGATATATATGCTTTCCCTACTTCATATGTTAATATTCTGCCTTTTCGTTTAGCCCCTGATTAACAAGACAACGGATTTTATCTTTAACTGTCAGCTCCATATATATGTTCTAACAAGAATTCAGATTAGTAGTACCTTTTCGCTTAGACATCCACCACCAAGCAAAAAATACGCTTATAAACACGATAACTAATCCAACCGTTACTGGAACAATGACAATCACCCTTATGTCTGTCTTCTTATCTGAATTACAACAAAATCAAATCAAATCAAATCAAATCTATACATATGTGATAATAATTTCATCAATCTGTTCATATCGATAAAATGTGAAGGAAATAAATTAATGAGTGAGTGTAACTGATTAGTACTAGTTAAGGAAGAGAAGTACCAATCTCCGAATATGCCACCCGAACTTGAAGAACCGAGCCACCAACAGGGAACACTCGGACATCGATCAAGCTTCTGTTCCAGAACATACAACCAATCCCGGGGTCATGTGAATAGGCTACACAGGAACAATTCCTCAAGCACAAACCTTCACATTCTTCTGCTTCTAGACTAGTCGACACATCCATAAAGTCCGGAACTTTCACGTTCGTTATCTTCCAAAATACATCTTCTTTGTTTTTATCACTTGAATTATTATTTCTATCACACTGCAACAATGTCTTCCTCACACATCCACCCCTCCAGTTCCCTTTATCCCATTCCTCCTTGTTCTTGGGTTCGTATCCTTTCAAGCAACTACACATTGGTGAATTTCGTAGATTACAGTTTCCAAATGGCCCACACTTACCATAAACATCACAAACATCTATAGGAGCTATCCATGTAACATTCCAAACCCTTCTGTTAACATCCCACATTGTTTGAACAAAACTTCCATTTGGTTTCAGAATTATCTTCATTAAGATTTTACCGTAGTAATCTCGCATAAACGAGACAGTACCATCATCGAACTTGGTTACACTGTATCCATCAAGGTACACCGCATACATGTCTGTGACTCCGGTAAGAATCTGACCGTTCCATGGACCACTTCGCCAGTGTGGACGACTCCCATTCCATATGAATATCTGTGGAATGTTTAAAGCTTGTAAACCAGCTGTAAAACTTCCATAATCTGGATCCTGTGGGGTTTTCCATGAAGTTAGCAATACTCTCTCCCCTGTTCTTGGGTTGTCATTTAATTTAAGTTTTGGCATAAAAGCATCAGTAGGATGCCCAAAACTTTCCCATACGTTTCTCCCATTTGAATTGTCTATCAAAACAAGATTTCCATTATCCAAAAGCTGAGCAGTTGTATTCATTGGAGACTTTGTAACATTTGATGACCAAAAAATCTCATTTTTTCCATTAAGAAGTAGAATATCACCATCCTCGGATATGGTTACAATCCCAGTAGAGTCGTTGAGAGGCTTATCTCTATTGGCTACCCATATTATAGATATTGCAGAAACATTATTCCATATCCCCAAATAGCGGTTAGTAGTATTTTCTGGGCTGAAGAACCCTAATCTATAAACCTTGCCACTGGATACTATTGTGTCACCGTCTTTGAGAGTTGAACTGGCTATGATATTGTCTGATTCAATGCAAAATCCTGAACTCAAAAGGAAGAATGATATGAAAAGGGATTGAAGAAAAAGCTTCAGCATTGTGTGGTACATGCTTGTTTCCTAAGAGAATCTCAATCTCTAACTGAGCAAAGAATTGAGAGATAATTAATTGAACTATGGTAGGTGTACGTTCCATGACATCTTGGTTTACGTGCAAGTTAAAAATCTTTCAATCATATATCGCCACGTGACACAACGTAAAAAATGATATAAAATAAGACATGTGGCATCATTGTAATTGATTTCTTTAATTATTGTTTGGAAAAATATCCCTAATCTTTTCAATTTTTGCAGACTTTACCTTAACCTTCATTTTGTAACAATGAAGATCTCTAACATTTCATTAATATGTAGATGGAGTTCATTTTGGACCAAAACCGTCCACTTTTCCGTTAATTGACCAAAAAATGAAAAATTTTGATGAATTTTGACCAAATTATAAAGGGCAAAATTATACTTTACATTCTCATAATAAGTTATTTAATTAAAGAAACTTTACAGAATATTGAGCCCAGCACCACCGCTCAATTTCACAGAAATTTCTTCCATTACCTCCACCCATTCCCCGCTCAATTTCACAGAAAAAACCCGAACTCAGCAGTATCGCCCATTTCCCATTTTCTCTGCACAACAAGAAACTTCTGGATTAACTCCCAAATTCATCAAACGTGGTGGTTTATTATTTGAAAACTTTGCAATTGGAACTCGAGTAATTCATTATGAAATCCAGTTGTTGATGTAATTTTTAACTTTGGCCGCTAGCAGCAAAGATGAATGATTTTGAAGATGAAGGATTTGGGGGTGGGGCATAGTTTATCTTTATTTTTTTTTTCTTTTTTGGGGTGGGGTTTTATATTTATATTTATTTTTTTGATTTTTAATTTAATTAAATAACTTATTTAATATGAGAAAATGTAAAGTACTATTTTGTCCTTTTTAATTTGGTCAAAATTGATCAAATTTTCCATTTTTTGGTCAACCAACGGAATAGTAGACGATATCCGTCGAAATGGACTTCAGTTGTATATTTATGAAATGTTAGGAATCTTTATTGATACAAAATGAATGTTACGATAAAATCTATAAAAATTGAAAAAGGCTGGGGAACTGCTACAATTTTTCCTCTTTCTTTGAGGTCAAGTTGATTCTAATAATTCAGCCGTCAGATTTGAATTCTAGTTTGTAATTTGTAATTTTGTAGTCCTGTCACCAGTCTTGTCCTTGATTCAGATTGTCCAACTTGTTCACGTGTCCAACTTGCTCAACATTTTTAAAGAATAGAGTTAATGCTTGTTTGGTAGGAATTTTTGGGGGAAAAATTGATTTTTAAATAGTAATATGATGGAAAATGTGTAGTTGAAAAAGAAGAAAAAATTATTGATGTGATGGAAAATATTATTTTATTGAAAAATGTGTGGTTGAAAATGAGAATTGATTTACTGTAGAAAATGAGAATCCATACCATACCAAACAGGCCCTAAGTCTTTTAACATAGATTAGAAGTCGCATTGAACAACATATGCGATTTAGATTCCTACCACTACCAGGAACCAACCATCCTTATATAAGACTCCAAATCTCTCAGGAAGCTTGTCCTCACCATTGCAGCAGCCGGTCAAATTGCTCCTCATAACCAC